TATGTTTTTTTCATAATCAGCAATGTATATTATGTCATGAATAAGTGATAATTGTGTTTTAATTATGTTTGATTTTTTGGTTGCATGTGACCTTTAACAATATGATTTATCAAGAACGTTCAAAACAAATTTGCTTGTGTTAGTGCTATAAACTTCTTATAAGTTTGTATATATTATGTTTTATATATTTGTATTTGTGGAGTAACGAGCCAACGCCTTAACCACTAGGCTACCCAAACCATTTGTTTCAACTTTGAATTACAGTCATGTTTATAAAAGCTTGCTGACATTTGATTAGAGATAATTTCTCCGGTAATTATCAAGTAATTGTTTTGTTGGTAAATACATTGAGTCTGTAGCATAAATAGTAATTGACAATTATACATGTACCCTACCCCAACCGCCTCGGTATGCTTTGAAGAAAATGTAAATTTGTGTAACATATTTTTGTAAATTTGTACATGGTATGTTTTTTATGAAATTTAATCTTTCTCTGTCTTCTTGGCAACATATGTGCAATCTGAAAATTCTTTTCCGAATATAAATAAACATCAATTGTAAGTATGACACTATCCGTTTGTTTTTGGATCCTTTCATTTGCATGAAAGTCGGGAGTATTAAAGTAAATTGCGTATAATACAATACCATTTTCATCAACATTGCTATGTTGACCATGGAACACTATCTGGCTAAGATCAACTTGATTTCAGTGTTATATTATGATAACTTCCTTATTCACACAATCAACTAAATCCAACACAATACAAGTTGCACCGCTTAAGCAATCCACTCCTTTGATGATCTCCTCGGTGCATTATCGCGATAATGACATCGCGAGATATCGAACAGCTCAGCAGGAACAGAAATCGTGACAATTGTTGTGAAAATGAAAGCTGTATGTTTATCAAAGTGAATACATTTTTTAAGAAACCAAATTATTCATCAAAGTATACATTAAAATCAATATGGGTGGTACTTGTCCTCTCTGTAATGGTAAAATAACTGAGTGGCTTTTGTCCTGCTCCCTTTCCGAGTTACAACTTGTTTTCATAGACGATTCTGTCGTAATTGCCTGGTGTCGCTGGGCCTTATTTGTTCGAGACCAGTCGCTAGTGATAGTGAAAACTATGATCAGCCTCGCTCATCTCGGTTACGGTTAATTTGTTCAACCTAAACAGTGCGACAGTAGGAAGGGTGGATGCCCATCAGATGCCGTTATTTGAACATTTCCCCGGTAGTTCTTGTCTGATTGTATTAAAGTATCAAAGCAGTGTGGGCTTTTGCGGGTTTTCTAATGCGTGGATGGCATATTGACTCATCATAATTGATCCCATTTCTGTGGGTTTTTTTACCTCGATATTTATTCACGTCATGTAAAAATATGACGTATAATATTAAAAAATGACATTTGATCCATTTGAATCCGTAAACTAAACAACCCCACTTTGCCATTGCTAGAAGGCTCTGAAAATTTACTCGGGTAAATAGGTACATACAGTTATAGCACACAGCAAATGCTTATATGTATTTCTTATGCAACAATGAAGTTCTGTCCGTATTCTCAAAATAGTGTCGGCCCATAGGTTTACACATGCAATACAGCAATTAATACTCCCATGTTTTAACCCGTGTTAGGTGGTATAAACCTACACATGTTATTTGTCATCATTCACTTGATGGTCAGTTAATGAATTTAAAACAGGTAACACCACTTAGATAACCCGACAAACACCACTTAGATAACCCGACAAAGGTTCCCATTTTGCATTTCTTGTGTCTGGAGTAAATACCCAATATAATATACATCGATCAAAGGATTAACGGATAACACGCTGATTGATTAATTACTTTTATCTTACACAGCGGATTTGTCAAACGGTATTGTTTATGTATGTAGATTAACTAATCAATACTGAATACACTCTGTCGTGTCTGTGTCTGCGTAAAACAACTTCCTTCTTTCGAAGGATTAACCGCCAAGACATTGATTGATTGCTCATTATTGGCTAACTAAATTACTTTTTTTTGTAAAGAATGGCGGACATTATGCAATCAGTGGCCAGGTGTGCTATCTTGGACGACCAATGAGACTATATACCTATGTAAAATACCTGAAACGATATATCACTTTTCGTGAACATGTATTAGACTGTTAAAAGACACATCATTTGGAACAGCTACAGGTGAATGGCATACGGCTCGTTTTTGTGGATATTGATGGATACATTCCTCGAACAAAGTAATAGCCTGACATCATTATCACTACCTGTTTTAGTTTTAATAATTGCATTTTGTTTTTATTCATTTGTCGCAGCATTCCACAGAATCCATGATTTCGTCGTGAAGTAATGAGACAGACAACATACACTAGGGCGTGTGTGCGAATTATGATTTACAATGTCTAGATACTCAAGTTATAAGTAAAGGCAGATCGCCTGATTTTTATTTAGTTTCAAAATGCACATAAGTATGATAATAAACTAATTAGGATTATAAGACCAAATAGAAAGACGCACGTTGACTAGTATCTACATACTGGTGAGTGGACATTAACCATGGGAATGTAGCAAGATATTTATTGCGCAGTATGTCACTTCGACCCCCACCTCGCTTCCGAGGAAGAAATCGTTATGTTATAAGTTGTGTCATGCCAAATCCTGTTGGCCATGATTCCAATACATATTTAACTACGAGTAGAAAGTAGTTTTGCTTTTCTAACTTGATGAAAACAAACCATAATCTCATTAATTCTTTAACAGACTTTAGCCCGTCATATTACGATTATTAAAAATGGCAGCGCCCTGTCGCGAACATCCGCGAGTCTGAGAATAAATGCTATTTAGGTTTGTTTTCACCGAGTTACAAAATCAAAACTACTTTCTACTGGTAGTACAATATGTATTTGATTGATGTCCAATAGGATTTTGCGTGACATATCTTATATCATAACAATTTCTCTCGAGGAAGCGAGGTGGGTGTCAATATTACACTACTTACAATATTATTGTCACTTCCACCACGACCTCGCTTCCGAGAAAGAAATCTTTATGCTTCAAGTTGTGTCATGGAAAATATTTTTGGTCATCAATCATATATATATTGTACTACAAGTAGTAAGTAGTTTGATTCTTTAACTTCCTTGAAGCGATCTGGACAAATTTAAGATATCGTTCCAAGCTTCCACAACGCTCGCTTCGCTTTGAGTAAGTTTCGTTGTTCAGACCATCCTTTAATGTTGGAATAAGGGCGAAAAGTAAATATAAAACAACATGAGTGATTCTGCCCTCTGTGTATTGTACTTACCATTGAATCAGAGTACCAATTCTTTATTGAATGTTCATTTTACTGTGATCTGAGAAACAGCCTTCTCCCACAATACTACATAAATAATCCATGTGAAACATTGACAAAAAGAGCGAAGTTTTTGAATATAGAGTATAAGATTAAATGAGACATTGTACACGTTAGCATACAGCTTAATATTATATATGGCGCTGGATTGTATTTTCATCTTTATAATTGTAAAACGGGTCGGTGGCCCTTGTACGAAATTAACTCTCACTGACTAGATATAAGCTTATGATGATACATATTTAAACTCAACGTGACAAATTCACTTTTCACCCACAACATTGAACACTTAAAATGTGTTCACTGCAATTTCGACTAGTCAAGTCGATAATCCTTTCGTTAACCCCTTAAACAATCATTACTAAAACAACACCAAACATCAAAGACTACCGCCAGTCGCCTTAACGACCCCATGAAACACTCATGCCGCCCCATGCCACTATTGCAATTAGCCCATGCAGAACAATAATTTACCATCACCCACCAGTTATCTCCCCTTGCGGATATTTCCAAGATTGGAAATTTTTGGAAACATCATCTTTCCAAAATTGGAAAGTCTTGGAAACATCATCTTTCCAAAATTGGAAATGTCTTGGAAACATCATCTTTCCAAGACATTTCCAAGCTTGGAAAGATGGATTTTTCTGTTTCAGTTTGTGTTGCTCTTGATGTCAATGGTAATTGTGGTGATAAAGAAATCTTTTCCTCCTTCTTTCTCCTCTTAAAGATGTGCATCTGATCCAACTGAAAAAAATACATAACACACGTGAGACCAAGTATGATATACTTATAAAATGTAAACAGTTCCTTACAATGTCAAGATATTATTGCTAAATTAAGCATGTGGATGTTATGTTTAACTGAACATGCTGCACCATAGCCAAATGCTAAATGGGGTTGTAATAATATATTAATCAAGCTCATATTACAGAATACATTTGTGAGAGACACCTATTCACAGCTATTGTGGATATAATCATAATTGTTTACTCGCTATTAAATTATTATTTAATTCACTACATTTATTTTTATAGAATTACACCTGGATTTTCATTGCACATTAAGTTATCTTCTGGATAATTCCAACTGCAAGATACTTTATTTATTAACACAGTTTTTGGGTACACATGCATTATACCGGATACCTGCCTGCCATATTTTATTAAATTAGGTCCCCTCTCCGGGGGACAATAAAATCCCACTGTAAGATATCACATGCAATCAAACGATTAACCAATCTGCACCCATGTCAACTCCACCCTTACTGTGCTTGCCATGCTTAAACAATACCAGTCTTTAAATGAAAACAAGTATGATTATCCACGGCATACCCCATGTAACAGTGTTATCGCCATTGCCGAAAAACGTTGTTTGTCACCGGAAGTACTAAACAACGTAATCTGTCGCGAAGTGCCGTGACCTACACTCATGTGCCATATTAAAGTTCACAAAATGGCCGCCATGTAATTTTCGCTAACTGTGATGAGATGTAAATATAGTTTGATTTCAAAATAATGCCTGAAGCCACTTACCTGATATTTTCAGTATTTAGTAATACAGCCATTTACTGCAAGTACAGCCCTCATTCGCTTAGGTAGAGTAGAATACAGTGATTTTATGTACTCTGGAGTAAGTGATGTCCAGATATTGGCATTTAGTACTAGTTACTAAATGTTTTTATTGCAGGTATGCTATCTTATGTTTACATTTTGATTTCGCGCATCAGTGGAGCTGCACGCGCAGCTCCCTGAAAATTACGTCACTCATGCGTAACACCTCGTGCATTACGTCATCAATCTAACAGTAATTCTTTACGCATCACTTCGCGTCAGCCGTTCACCGGGCATACTCGTACCGTTTTCTCTTTCGCTTTCCGTATCTCCTCCGCTGCAAATACTTCTATAATTTTGTTCAAATTCAAGTCCTTGATTCGTACGGCTCTCTTTCTTCCTCGCTAATATATCGATAAATCACTGAAGTCCTTGGTTTCAACCGCCGACAAGCATGCCACCAAAACGCCGTGCAGCCATGAACCATCGTTTGGTGAGAGGGTCGAAGCGACCACGGGACACTACTGGAACACCGAGGGAGGTGAATGGAGTACCAATCACCATGGATGCAGCAGCAGATGGTGAGTTTCATTACATTCCTCGTAATAATAATTTTGTGTCCATACCGTCAGGCATTTTGACTTCCACCGTGACCGACTCCAACCAAACGGATCACGCATTACCTAACCCACACAATGTTAATGAGCCGATAAGAGAGCAATTGCAGCAAATATGGGCGCTTTTGGGGCAGTCAGGAGCCAATAAATCCGGCCATTCGTCTTCTGTGAGCGCTTCCAATTTCCCCGCGCATTCCTTCGCTGAGTGCGAGCGAGGCAGGGTTAACCCGTCTTCTCAGAGCGAGGCTCCTGGTGACGCATCAACCAATCAAATGCTACCTTTGGGGGAATCCCTTGTCTTCCACGCGGAAGCCATTGATGCACACGTCAAACAACAAACAAGGGAAAAAGTATGGAGAGGTGAGTATGTCGACCTCGGCACGCTTCTCCCTGTTGACGGGGGCGTCGAAGAGGGCGAATCACTGACCGTGACGACGGACACAACAGGTAGGGTGATTTTTAAACCGGTCAAAGCTCCAGCTAAAAAACTAACGCTTGGCAGCTGGACATCCGCTTTTCATGTTTACATGAGCATATACCTCGGTAAACATTTCAGTTTATCTATCGTGCAAAGTCTCCTCTCTTACATGGAGACAATCCGCTCGGCAGCATTAAGATTTGGACAGGAAGCCTGGATGCTATATGACCAGCAATTTCGACACAGAATGGCGAGAGACCCTCTCCGACGCTGGGACAGAATTGACGGTGAGTTATGGTTAAAATTCATGACCCCGCAGTCGGGACGCCAACAGGTAGGTGTTTATCCCCCGGTCAGCAGTCTGTCCCTAGTGTGTTAGATCCAGCGCTCAACATCTGCTTTGCATTCAACAAACCGCATGGATGCAGAAGGTACAGTTGTGTGTACCCGCACAGATGCAGCAAGTGCAACGACGCTTCGCATGGGGCGGCCAGCTGCTTTCGAGGACCGGGGGTCCAACGACTCCCCCTATCCAACAACAGTATGGGCCCATGCTTCACCAGCCCAAGGCAGCCAACCAGAGGAAACAGAGGTAAGGTCTTTGGCTCCTACACCCGTCAGACTAGATAGATTAACTCCCTGGTTGCATCGTTATGATCAGTCCAATGCAACAGATGCACAATATCTACTTGAAGGTTTTACATTTGGTTTCCAGCTCGAGTTTCAAGGTATGCGCCATAGTCGTCTCGCGAAAAATTTAAAGTCAGCGACACACAGGGATAGGGTACACATTGTCCGGCAAAAGCTAAAAAAGGAACTGGATCTGAACAGAATGGCTGGGCCGTTTAACACTCCCCCCTTTGTTAATTTGCAAGTATCCCCAATAGGTCTTGTCCCAAAGAAACAGTCAGAATCCCAATTATGGCAAGGAAATCAGGCTGACGATTTTCGTCTAATACATCATTTGTCTTATCCAAAAGGCGGGTCAATAAATGACCACATAGATCCGCAAGCATGCTCAGTGTCTTACGCTAAGTTTGACGAAGCTATCCGAATGATACAACACTTGGGTCGGGGGGCACTGCTGGCAAAGTTCGATATCAAATCCGCATTCAGAATTATACCAGTACACCCAGCTGATTTTGAATTGATGGGGGTACAGTTTGAAGGTAAATTCTACTTTGATAAATGCTTACCTTTTGGCTGCTCAATATCATGTGCTGTCTTTGAGACTTTCAGTTCTTTCCTACAGTGGTGCATAAGTCAACGCCTCCCAGGCATACAAATCATGCACTACCTCGACGACTTTCTGACTGGGGGATCACAGGGCACAACCCAGTGCCAGGCTAACTTACAGACTTCACTGGCAATGCTAACTCATCTAGGTATTCCCATTGCTCATGACAAAACAGTTGGCCCAGCATCTAAATTAACATTCTTGGGTCTTGAAATCGACACACTGGCCATGCAGGTTAGAATACCTGAAGGTAAGATACGTGAAATCACATCCCAGATACAGCATATCCTCTTCAAACCTAATTCCAAGGTAACAAGAAAGGAGCTACAGTCCCTCATCGGAAAGCTCAACTTTATCTGTAGGGCAATTCCAATGGGCAGAGCCTTTTGCCGACGGCTCATTGACCTTCTCTGTCAAGGTAAGCAACCATTCCACCATATTCGAATCACTGAATGGGTAAAACAGGACCTGCATATGTGGCTAACATTTCTTACAAAGTTTAATGGTGTATCAGTTTTTCAGGACCAGTTGTGGGTAGACAACTCTCATCTCCAGCTCTACACAGATGCATCAGGCAGTACAGGATTTGGGGCCTACCTTCAGGGGGAATGGTTTTGCGGCAGATGGCCTGATCAGTGGGTTGTGAATGGGACCACACTCGACATGACTTTCCTGGAGCTGTTTCCCATCGTCTTGGCCATCAAAATATGGGGACCTCAGCTTGCAAACAAGAAAATCCTTTTCTACTGTGACAACCAGGCAGTGGTGGCAATCATCAACAAGCAATCATCCAAATGCCCGGTGATGAATCTCCTCCGTCGCCTTATTCTTCTTTGCTTTAATCATAACATCTTGTTTAAATCTAAATACATTGACACCAATTCCAATGTTATAGCCGATGCACTCTCGAGGTTTCAGTTCGACCGCTTTCGGGCAGCCGCACCAGAAGCGAAAGCTGCACCAACGCCAATCCCAGACACCATATGGCAGATCTAGAACAAGAAGCAGACAGGCTCCTACGCCGGTCCCTATCGACAAATACCTGGTCGACCTACAAGACAGGCATCGATGCCCTGCAGCAGTTTCGAGCAGTACATCGACTTCCGGAGACATGGCCAGTCCCTCTGGATCAGGTTGTAAACTTTATTGCTCATTTGTCAGTCACTAATCATTCTCCAAACACAGTAAAAAACTTATATCGCAGCTGTGTCTTCTTACCATAAATTCAAAGGCCTCCAGGACTGCACCGGGCATTTCCTTGTCAATAAACTGATAACAGGTATGTACAAGTCCAGTGGGCGGCAGGACAGGAGAAAACCTATTACGCTGGATCTGTTAAAAATAGTGAACAACAATCTCAGTCAGGTTTGTACCTCGTCATACGAAGTATGCCTCTTCAAAGCAGTATATTGCGTGGCCTTCTTTGGTTTCTTCAGGGTAAGTGAACTAGTTCAAACAAAGACATCACAGCCTGGCTGCACCATCCAGGACGTAAGTATATCAGGTCAACCCGAGACAGTTACTATCCACCTCCCACATTCAAAAGGTGACCCACGAGGGTTTGGCGTTTCTGTAGTTATTGAGGCAACACCTGGTCAATCCACATGCCCAATAGCAGCCCTTAAGGCCTATTTGCGGGCCCGCCCTCTAGGCCCTTCTCCAGCGTTCATCCATTTCGACCATACTCCGCTAACCAGGTACCAATTCCAAGCCGTACTTAAAAAAAGCCTTGGCCCTAAGCTCCATAAATACTGAAAACTATTCTTCACATTCATTCCGTATCGGAGCAGCAACTACAGCAGCCATGAATGGGGTACCCCCACATCTCATCCAGCAGTACGGCAGGTGGAAGTCACAATGCTATCAGTCCTATATTCGGCTACCAACAAAATAATTTAGCATATCAGTTACTTTTTGTAAATGTAATCAAATAATATCAAGCACTCTCTTTAAAACTTCATACATTCAAGCGACCTATTTGTATCCAAAGGGCACTGATATTCTAACTCCTGTAAATGACTTCCGATGCTACTACTGCGTTTTCTTTCCAGTATGGATCGTAGGATCAAGTTTCGTGGCAAGAGCCAGACGAGAGCTCCAAATGCACCAAATGGAGTTGGCTCGTCACAGAACGATCCTGTGGCTTGCGAGGGGGGGCTTGCGTTGGGCGGAACTCGACCAGCTGATAGATGCCCAAGTCCAGGCGATGCGGCGACCACCCAAGGCTGTAGTCATCCACCTTGGCTCCAACGACCTGTGCACCACAAAGGCGAGCCAGCTGCTGGGTGATATGGAGATGTCCATAAAGCGGCTACAGGTCCACCTGCCGAACGCCAAGATCTTATATTCCAACATCTTGCCACGCCGTTATTGGCATAATGCGCGGGACCCACGTAAGGTGGACCGCAGTAGGTCCAAACTTAACAGGCGTTTAGCCAACCATTTCACGCACATACCGAATTTTGTGGTAATCCCCCATCCACATATAGTGGCCACGGACCCATCCTGGTTCCAGTGGGATGGGACGCACCTTAGCTCTAAAGGGGTTCATCAATTCGTCCGCGACATAAACGATGCCTTGGTACAAAATTTTCAAAGTAAGTAAGTAAAGAGGTAAGTGAATTTCTTATATGAGGCAATCATGGCGGGTACGCGTATCTTCAGCCTTAGCCGTATGGTGTGGGGTAGCACTGTTGTGCTAGGTGGCGTGGTTCTTGTGGGCTACCTTTCAACATAACTCATAAGAATATATATATGTTAATTAGGGTTTCCGGTTACCTGCTTTCCAGCGGGAACCTCGGCTGGGTTACCTTCTTACCAGTTGGAACCCAGTCTTTCCCGGGTTTTCACTCGGGGAATCTAGTAACAGTTAAGTTAAGTATCGGGGCCTGGCGGCGTTCGATCCCAATTAGACCTGCGACGTTTCCGTCATTTGGGCCTTAGCATTAATTAGAGATTAGCAATTACACAGCTGGGCCTGGCGGCGTTCGCTCCCATTGTTGACCCCCAGCGTTGGTCGGGTTGCGACGTTTCCGTCATTGGGGTCTTAGCATTAATTATAGATTAGCAATTACACAGCTGGGCCTGGCGGCGTTCGCTCCCAATTTTGACCCCCAGCGTTGGTCGGGTTGCGACGTTTCCGTCATTTGGGCCTCAGCATTCTTTGGCTAGTAACAATTATGTTGGCGACGCTAGTTGCCACATAGCTAAAATCTTTTAGGCTTATTGTTAGCATTCTATTTCAAGATTGGGGTAGCCCACTAGAACCTCCACACCCTCGGCCATTAAATCCACAGTTGCGTCTCTGTTTTTCCTTCATTGTAGTCCTCTTCTCAGGAAAGTGGGTTCTTACTGCAATATCATGCGATAATGGTACCAGGCATGAAGAATTGTACATATCTATCACCTCAACATATTGTATATATATTTTGGATGATAGTTCCTGAATAAATCATGTCGTGGAGTGCGTGGTTCTTGTGGGCTACCTTTCAACATAACTCATAAGAATATATATATGTTCATTAGGGTTTACGGTTACCTGCTTTCCAGCTGGAACCTCGGCTAAGCTACCTTCTTACCAGTTGAACCCAGTCTTTCCCGGTTTTCACCGGGGAATCTAGTAACAGTTAAGTTATATCGGGCCTGGCGGCGCTCGCCCCAATTAGACCCGCGACGTTTCCGTCATTTGGGCCTTAGCATTAATTAGAGATTAGCAATTACACAGCTGGGCCTGGCGGCGTTCGCTCCCATTGTTGACCCCCAGCGTTGGTCGGGTTGCGACGTTTCCGTCATTGGGGTCTTAGCATTAATTATAAATTACACAGCTGGGCCTGGCGGCGTTCGCTCCCAATTTTGACCCCAGCGTTGGTCGGTTGCTGTGTAACGTTTCCGCCATTTGGGCCTCAGCACAGCAATGACGACTGGCGATGCTCAACGCGTATTGCCCCAATATAGCGAGGGCTAATGCGAAACGTCGCAACCGACAACTGGCGTCAGAAACGGTGGCGAACACTGGTAATGCTGAACTTGTGACGACGACAACGCTGGTCAGCGCAATGGTACTTCATGTGCATTGCTAATCTTCGAGGTAACTGGGCCCAATGACGTCTGTAATTGAGGCAGCTGAACCGAAACTGCCAACTGTTAATTCCCCGGTGAAAAACAGCATTCGGGTTCCCGGCACTGAAGCCGGCAACCGGTCCCGCTGAAAACGAATTAACCGTAAACCTAATTAACGCTATATATTTAACCCCATGAGCCATGTTGGCCTTACAGAACCACGCCTACTGCGGCTACCCACCGGCAGGCTGAAATAAACACACCATGAACCCCTTTCGCCTCTTTACTTTGAAATTTTGTGCCAGGCATCATGATAACCGAACAATTGCTGGGTGATCCCAGCTGAGTTCGGGGCTGGTCGTGAACCGGTTCTGCAAAATTCGTGCGATAATGTTGACTAAACGCCTGTTAAGTTCGGACTTCACGCCGCCGCGCATTATGCGGCGTGGCGAATGTTGGAGATCTTGATAAACGAACCCTTTATGGACGTCTCCCGCTTATCTTAACGGCTGGCTGTGTGCTGCAGATGGGTGAATTGAATGGTGTTCTCTTCATCTTATCGGCTTCGGTCGGTCGACACAACCGCAGAGGATCAGACGGCTGACTCCATTTATTGTTGTTTGAATATAGGTATCTGGCTCTTACGAAAACGATCACGATCGCTGGAAAGAAACATCTTGTGGCAGCATCGGTGGGAGTTAAGTATCGGTGTGCCCGAATACAATAGATAAACTGAATAATGATTTTTGAAGGTGCTTATTTGATTACGTTGCAAAAGTGACTGTTCAAATTGACAACCGATAACAGGACTGACAGCTGCCATGAACGACGCTGGCCGATAACGAGATGATATTATTGTTTATCAGACTTAGGGTGGGCACCAGTGGAAACTGGTATTTTCGATTGGCGAAATCAGACGGGTGGAAAAATAGGCAGCCGAATTTCAACGCTTTATGGTGAGTCGTTGCCTCGATAACCAATGACCGGATGCTGCTGATATTGAAGATGAACAACGGCTTTGCCATTACTTAGATGCGGACTCCGGTATTGATGTCTTTGAACTAGTTCTTACCTGAAAACCAGCACCAACCTTTAACTTTGAAGAAGACGTACCAAACATGACGGTGCAAACCTGACTGGTGTTCTGTTTTCAATAATTTCTTTGTCACCGCCCACTGAACATCGGTTGATGACGAGCGATTCTTTGTTTATGACGAAGTACGGCACCATGACATGAAGTTTTTATGAACGACCGAACGCAATGAACAAAGTTTGAACTTGTTCCGGAACTGACCGTAATCTCTGGAGAATCGTCGCTGCTCGGCTGCTGCGAGAACGATGCTGTCTTCGCTGGAGTTGACGAGTAACTGACGTGAAACTTGTCTGCTCAACTTCGTTCAGATCTGGGATGGCTGGCTTCTGGTGGCGATATTTGTCGCATCGACTCACCTTTATTGAACCGTATAAAACGAATTTCGATATGATTAAACGAAGAAGAACTCAAAGACGACGATACGAATGCGATGATTGCTTGTTCAATGCAGTGAAAGAACTTCTTCGTTTATATTTTGATGGTACTTCGAAAATGCGTGATAAATTCCCCATTAACCCTGATCGGGCCATCTGCCGGCTTCCGCAATTTCAAATCCTGTACTACCTGATACATCTGTCAGCAAAACTATTTTCGACCAAACTTTTATTGAAACCAGCCACATATCGCGAGTCTGTTTACCCATTCGTAATTCGATAATAATTGAATATCGGACAACACCTTGTTGAAGAGATCGGCAGGTCGTGAAAAACTCGCCCGACGGAAGCCCTTTGAACAAAGTTGACTTTCGATAAATGTTCGGTACGCTAATTCAGGTTTGAAAGAAATATCGTTCGTATCTTCGGGTGATACAACGCCGTGACCAGTGTCTTCGGGCAAGAATGTT